ACCTCGACCCAACTAATAGTACACAGAGAAGCAACCAGACCGAAGCATCGTGGTCTGATCCACCTCCCTCATCACGTATATTTCTAAGGCCTGAGGTACAGTAATTTCGAGATCCCCCCCCCCCCCAAGATCTTCACACACGTAACTATCTTTCTCAAAGGGGTTCGTCCCTTAGTCATCTATAATTTCTTTCCTTTTTGTGTTTAAGTTCATAAACAGAAAACGTTCTATAGACTGACTTGAGCCTAACATGGCGATGATTTATAGGCCTACCCTACGTTGCTGTTGTGGCAAATTATCTTTATGGTGTTATACTTGGACCCATGCTGTCGTCCATTAATGGTTTTCAATCTTGCTTTTGCAGAATATGTATGTGTAAAAAATGCAAAGGGAACGGAACTTTGAATTTCAAGTGTGTTTACGAATAACTTATGATTTTGGGCCAGGAAAACTTCGCTAAAAGTATTTCGAAAATCCAAATTCCGGTAGTGATTCCTTGATATTTTTTTCCTGGAGAAATTATTTTTGAGATCGGGTGCAAAAGTGTGATAAGAACTGGAAAAGCTTTATGCTAGTGTAAGAAAATGAATTAATAATCGGTTCTCGTAGCTTTGGTCGTATTTTCATACTTCAATACCCCCTTATTGGACGCTCCCATAAACTCTGGCTTTTCCCTTCCCGTTGCCGTTAGTTGCAATGGAATATGACACTCGGTTTGTGAGTTACTAAAACAATCGGAAAAAAAGGAAATGGCAACTGCCTGTGCAAGTGTATACATGGACAAGCATATGTTAAAATCAGAATGTTTTATTGCATGCCAGAAAAGCAGAGAGCGCAAATGGTGGAAAATCTTACACTACCGAGTGTGGGGGTAAGGATTACGTCCTTGTAACTTAAAAAAAAAAAAAAAAAAAAAAAAAAAAAAACGTGCGGTACATATTATTCATGTGGGTGATTTTCTCGATGTTAAAAGTTAAAGATAGTCCCATATCCAAGTGGACGTAGGGAGCATACATATTAAGCCAAGGGATGATGAGGTAAAGTGGCCAATTCCTATCCACCCCGACTTTGACTCTAGCATGCTGATGTCAGCATACCAGTACTCACAACTAAGACGACTGAGAGGGACGACCAAGCGCGAACCCAGAACACTGCGACAGCGAAGCCAGCGTTCAACCACTGGGCTTTGCTTCCTCCATACTTATAGTTGTATCACTTTCACATAATGCGGATATCTAATATTTTCTGAACAGCTGTTCAATTTAGAGAGACATGTGCATAATGATATTTTCTCAACAGCTGTTCAATTTAGAGAGACATGTGCATAATGATAAGATTAGGTAGTCAGTTCCTTTCCCGCCCGACGTTGACCCCAGCATGCTGATGCCGGTACTCCATCACAACCGAATCAGCTGAGGAAAGCTGACCCGTCGCGATGTCGAGGCCTCCAAAGCCCAGCAAAGCTCACTCCTCGCGCCCTGATTCAGATCTCAAGGGGCGATTGAGGTCCTCACCAACGTTATCCCGGATATCTGCGCCATTTGCTTCCAGTGTGGCCTCCCTTGGGTCTGGCAAAGGAAGAGCAGCGCGGCATTCGATTGTCCTTCGCTCGAGGGCCGCGAGTCTCGTCACGGTGACGGTGGCGTTTCCTTTCACTGCGAATTTGCTTGAGTGTGCGCGGCGATTAGGTCATCCTGGCTGCATTCCCGCCTTCCCGGGCGATAGATTACTCTTAATATGTATCGTGCCAGTAGTATTTCTGTCTCTATCTCTTCGTATCTATCTCTCTTCCTCTTTCTCTTTCATTCCCAAAGAAAGAAAGAGAGAGAGAGAGTGAGATCGTACACAACACCTGTGTGTGGAAGACGGGGACAAAGCAGCTGCAGCCATACACATGATACGCAGATGATGATGGTGTTGATGGTGATGGTAGTGATGAGAATGATGATGATGATGACGATGATAATGATGATGACGGTGAAGGTGGTGATGATGCCGATCAAGACATCCTTAAAAAAAAACAGAGGGAGAGAGAGAGAAAAAAAGAAAACTCACGATGTGCAAACAAATACAAATGCCAAAATAAACATGTTTAAACATCGACATCACTATAACATCCCAACTTGATTACACAGACTTATTAAAGGTACAGCCAGACTAGCCACAGATTCGTGAAATCCAGCGATTTTTAATGGATTTTGCCCATCGATGGACTCAATCCACTGGACTTTTGCCCACACGGTCGATGCGATGCGCCCATCGAATAGCAAAGCAAGGGTGTCATGGCATCAATTTTGATGACGTCACAAATGTTACGGATGCTTTGTGAATATGGTCGATCATTTTGGTGTTTTCAATTTTCAAAGAGGATGGAAAATTAATTATTTTAATGGTTATATTTTCACTGAATAATCATCAAAATAGCCCTGTGGATGGGAAGAGTGAGCGATTGTGTTTATGCATGATTCTCAAGCGGAATTGCTCGCAGTGGCAGTCAAGC